TTCTTATAGTCTTGGATAAGAGTGTACACCTGCACCAAAAAACCCTGGGGCAGCTATGTCTATGTGCAGGGAATGTGTTATCTTTCCTAAATGGGGGTGGGAGTTCCAAAGCTAATTGTCATTACTTATCATATCAGTTGCTGGAAACCTGCATTTTCCCTACAACCCAAATGGGTTTATTAACTGTTGTTGGAGAAAAGCAAGTTTCCCAGCAGCTAACATTTCCAACATCTAGTAGGAGTGAGAGAAACCAAGGGACCTGGGACTTAGTTTACAACTGGAGTTTTGTCTGCTCTAGAGCAGTTGCTCTTAGAAGGTGCAGCTCACAAACAGCTCTGTTTTTCAAAGCCACCTCTGATCTGCCTCCACACCATCTGATCTGCCATCTTCTCCCCGTAATGAGAACAGATGGGAAGGGGTGGAAGAGGTTTGGGGAGGAATCAAGAGTAGCTTTTGAAACAACAGTTAAAAAGGATATAGAAGGTTACTTAGCAGTTGAGAGGAGCAGGGGCCCCAAATACTTGAACCATGCAAGCAGTTTGGGAAAACATACAAGCCGCATTTGAAATCTTTAATAATAATAATAATTTTTATTTATACCCTGACCTCCCCAGCCAAGGCCAGGCTCAGGGCGGCTAACACCAAGTATAAAACAATTGATGAAAATACAACTTTAAAACAAGATTAAAATACAACATTAAAATGCAGTCTCAATTCACTAGAAACTCAAATCAAAAACTTTTTGGGGATGAAAATGTCAAATCTTCACTAAGGCCAACTATCTAGACTGGTCCTACGTGGGTCAGAAAAAAGCCAGGGAAGTCCCCAAATAGGAGTTTCATCACAGAAGGAGAAAGGAAAAAGGAAAGAGGGGGAGGGGATCAAGTTGATTCCAAGCCAAAGGCCAGGCGGAACATCTCTGTCTTACAGGCCCTGCGGAAAGAAATCAGATCCTGCAGGGCCCTGGTCTCATGAGACAGTGCGGAGCCAATGTTGAAAAGGCCCTGGCCCTGGTTGAGGCTAATCTGACTTCTTTAGGGTCCGGGACCTCTAGGGTGTTGCTATTTATGGACCTTAAGGTCCTCCGCATACTTCGGGAATGACCTAGAATCAAAAGCAGAAGAATTCACCAAAGACCAAGTTCTGAAACACAGCTTGAAGGATGCAAAGTAGGATTCTTATTTTGTTTTTGTTTTTCTGTCCACTTGAATGTGCCACTACACTGTATCACAAACTGCTTTTGGAACTGCTCTGCATTTCCAAAGCGTTCTGCTTCAGACATAGGTGGGAGAGAGGACTGCTGCTGTACAAAACTGAAGTCCGACGCTCCCTTGGAGTCAGTTGTGTAGCCCTTGGAATCAGGGACAACAGGCTGAAAAAACATAAAGTACTTTTGCACATGGCGCACAGTTAAAATTATGGGATTTGCTCCCTCAAGATGTTCTGAGGACCACCAATCTGGATGGCTGTAAAAGAGGATAAGACAAATTCAAGAATATGCCGTAAGTCATGGTCTACCTCGACTGCTGGAGGCAGGGGATTTCATCCACGTAACAAAATTACACATCAATCCACATTCGTGTTGAGAGATCTGCTCCAGCTGCTGATTTGCTGCTGAGCCAAATTTCAGGTATTACTATTAGCATATAAAGCCCTCAGCAGCATGAGACATACAGGCCTTACCCTGTATGTGCCAACTCATTCATTTTGATCTGCACAACTAGTATTTCCGTGTTACGCACTTAGAAGGAGTCAATCCTTCAGTATGGCAGTACCTGGTCTTTGGAACTCCCTGCCCATTGATATTAAGCATGAGCTGTGCTGTTTTCGGAGACTGCTAAAACATTTTTTGAAGCCTATTCAGACATGCAATTGTATTGTGTATATTGATTTTAGAACTGCTGCATTTATTTATTTTTGTTTGATCTATTTTGTTTTTAAAGTTTGATTTTACCGGTTATTTTTAAATTGACCGTTTTATATTGCTTTATGTAACCTGCTTGGAGGTTTCTCTTGGTTTAAGCGGTACATATAAATCATGCTAAATAAATAAATATACAGTTACCGTAAATACCAAGTTACCAAGGATACAGTTACTGAAAGTATAAACCATTCCTGCCAGTCCTCAGGCCACCATACAATGAAACCAGTTAATTGTAAGTGTGCAATTGCCTGTTAACGTTATGCAGATGTTTACCTGTGCACAACACCTGCTCAAAAAACCAATGGCAACCAATGTAGTGATTCCATGAACACTTAAAACATATTTAGGATTGTGTTGGTTTTCTACATCTTGAGAAACCAGACAATAAAATCTGCATGTATTGTTTGTCCTAATAACCCAGACTCTGATTAAAACAAAATCAACACACAGCTGAAGAAAGGTAAAAGAAAACCAGGTCACTTGCAAGAAAAAATGCCAATTATTTTTATACATGGTGCCTGCTTGCTCCAGAATGACGGGTAATTCTACACCCACAGTTGTCAAGATATTTGCAGAAAATTCCTGCTTTTCATCAACTGCCATATGAAAGTGACATGTATTCAATATTAATGAGGCTGAAGAAGAACAGCGGGGTTCGCCAGCGTCTTATCATATACCGTATTTTTCCGTGTATAAGACGCCCCCACGTATAAGATGCCCCCTATTTTGGGGGCCTCCAAATTAAGAAAACACCCCCTCAGCACTACCCAGGTATAAGACGAGCCCCAATTTAAAACCTAATTTTTTGGTTTTTTAAAAAACCTCGTCTTATACATGGAAAAATACAGAAAGTCACTCTGTGGCAAAAACACGGCATCCTTTAACATGCACAACATGTTGGCAGCCTTCTCTTGGTTTCACGTTGCATACAATATTTTGGAAATTATCTTGAAAGTAAACGTAAGCAGAGGAAAGGCTGTGTGAAGAACGCTAAATTTCAAAGACACCATGGTATTTTGGATTGTTAAAGAGTGGGTGTAGGTAGGGAATTTATGGTTCTCAACTCAAGGCATTTTAGGAGCCAATATTATGTGGCTGAATAGCTTATTTTTCGATTTTGCAAATGAGCATGCCCAAATCCAGACTTAAGAAAGCTCTAGGTATGTCTACAGGGGTTTCCCCCCTTTTTTGCCCTGGCCTTTGAAACTTGCAATGTGTACTTTTAGGACCCACCTTATTTCTGTGATTCTGAGCTGTTTTAAACTGTTTTTAATATTGTTTTAATTGTTGCAACCCACCCTGGGACCTCAGGATAGGATAATAATAACAATAATAACAGTAATACCACCACTGGGTTTGTTTTAAAGAAAAAAGTTGAGTAAGGAAGCCCATAGTAAGTGACAACTAAGCTCCTTATCATTGGGCTGGGAAGAAAAGAGATAGGTCAATTGGTAGAGCATGCAACTACCATTTCAGGATCAGGACTAATTTCAGGATCGTGGGTTCAAGCCGCACATTGGGCAGAAAATTCCTGCATTGCAGGGGGTTGGACTAGATGGCCCTTGTGGTCCCTTTCCAACTCTACGATTCTGTAATTCATTTTGCCTGACATACAGATGAACCTCTATTTCAAATACTAAACAAAGGATGAGAAACACAAAGGCCCCGTTCGCACATAATACCAAACCCTAGTTTAAAAATTAAACTATGACAGAACGCAAACAGTGCTGATGTGCACTGTTCAACATTGCTCCGGTTTCCTCACTCTGACTTTGCTGCACCATGGAGGGAGCAAGCCAGAGTCTGGCTTTGCATAATGCGCAAAGCGGATAGTTTCCCCCAAAAGAAACCACAAGTGGTAAGCAGAGAACAAACCTTTGCTTCAAATATGAATTGTATTTGAAAAGAAGCAACAAGCGCTGGTTTACAAAGCCAGTCTCTGGTTTGTTTTCATCCCTGGTGCAGCAAAGCCAGGAGTCGGAGACACGTCGAAATTGGGACTTTTGAGCTGCATGTACTAGCATGCTACTCATTTTAATTAAACCATAGTTATTCTTTAACTATAGTTAAATGTTACAGGCTAGCCAGCCTAAAGTGTTTTGTGGCACCAGACAAACAAGTTTTCTGATAGCACAAGTCTTCATGGGCTAAAGCCCAGTTCATCAAATGCGTTAAGTGTTACCCATGGATGGTTGGCAAGACTGGTTGGCAGGATGGATGAGGACAGTGTGGTCAAATAAGAATGAAATGGTGGAGAAATGGATAGCCTGTGAGAGATTAATTAAATGCATTTGTTTTATTTATTTGCCGATTCTATAAACCACCTTTCACTACACTGTAATTCCAGAGTGGCTTCCAACATGTAACAAAAGCGAACTGCAATACATCAAAACACTAACAGTTTAAAGTAAGTTGATGTAATATAATATCAAACAGAAAACAAGAGCAGATGGAACCTCCAGACTAAAAACCTGACACTGGTTAAAACCAAGACAACTCAACTCATTCAAAGGCCTTGGGGAAGAAGCATTGTGAGCCATCAAAACTGTAGTAATTGCCGATAACACAATTGGTTTTAACACCGTTAAAGTTAATTTACACCTGCAATGCTAAAGGAAAGCTATCACATTTCTCAGTAAGTTCTAATTCAGCACTATCATGTGGGAGGCTCCCACTCAATACATGAATACAGCACTCTTGTCTTGTTGGCCAAGCCGTAGCCTGTATGCCAGGGCTAGGAAAGCTTGTTGTTCGACTCCAACTCCCATCATCCCAAGCCAACAGTTGATAGGAGATGTAGTCCAGCTACACGTGAAGAGCCAGCGATTCCTCTTCCCTGTTCCTACGCAAACTGGTCAGCAACTGCTGTGTATATATTGGATCCATGTCAAAAAGAGAGACTCAAAGGATCTCAGGACAGCATAGGTTGTTTTCCATTCATCGTGCCCTCACAGCAATCCTGTGAAAGGGCAGGTTGAACTGCTGACTCAAGATTGCCCATCAGTTCTAAGCCAGGGAGGACCTTTCATGCCAAGTTCCATTGGTCAAGTTCAAATAGCAACACTGCTCTGAGTCGGGCTGTAGCTCAGTGGTAGAGCATCTGTTCTGCATTCAGAAGGTCGCAGGTTCAATCCCTGGAATCTCCAGGTAGATAGATAGGGTTTCCCAAACTTGGGTCCCCAGCTGTTGTTGAACTACAACTCACATCATCCCTAGCTAGAAGGACCAGTGACCAGGGGTGATGGACTTTGTAGTCAACAAAAGAGGTTTAAAGACTATCTCAAGGCAAATGTAAAAAAATGTACAGTGGTGCCTCGCAAGACGAAAAGAATCCGTTCCGCGAGTCTCTTCGTCTTGCGGTTTTTTTCGTCTTGCGAAGCAAGCCCATTAGCGGTTTAGCGGATTAGCGCTATTAGCGGCTTAGCGGGCTTAGCGGATCAGCTGATAAGCGGCTTAGCGGCTCAGCTGATAAGCGGCTTAGTGGCTTAACGGATCAGCTGTTAAGCGGCTTAGCGGATCAGCTGATAAGCGGCTTAGCGATCAGCTGTTAGCGATCAGCTGATAAGCGGCTTAGCGGCTTGGGAAAAGGGGGGAAAAGGAAAAAAACCCCGCAGGAACTCGCAAGACATTTTCGTCTTTTGAAGCAAGCCCATAGGAAATTCGTTTAGCGAAGCACCTCCAAAACGGAAAACCCTTTCGTCTAGCTGGTTTTCCGTCTTGCGAGGCATTCGTCTTGCGGGGCACCACTGTAGTATAAACACTGACAACTGGGAAACATTGGCCTGTGAGCGCTCCAGTTGGAGAAACAGCCTTTACCAAAGGTGTCATGGGCTTTGAAGACACTCGAACTCAGGACGCAAGGGAGAAACGTGCTAAGAGGAAGGCACACTTGGCAAATCCACACTGTGATCAACTCCTGCCTGGAAACCAATGTCCCCACTGTGGAAGGACGTGGGGATCCAGAACTGGCCTCCACAGTCACTCTCGGACTCATTGTTAAAACCGTGTTTATGGAAGACAATCTTACTCGGCTACGAGTGATCACCAAAGAAGAAGTCGTCCAACAACAGCTGGGGATCCAAGTTTGAGACGTGGGACGTCCACAATACTGAGCAGGACGTGTCATTGGCCTGACTCAGTATGAGGAAGCTTGTTAGGTGCCTAAAGCAGTCTCGTCTTTACTTTTGCTATCAGCGAGTTGCCCTTGGAGACACACCCCAACCTTTTTTTTTTTGGGTGTAAAGGAGGCAAAGCAAGGAAATCTCTAGGTTAGAGCAACTGACCACTGCAGATCAGCACAGGATGTGGTTTGCTCATTGCTCAATAATGAACAACGTCCGTCCACCCCACCCCACCCCGGCTTCAAAACTCACACTATTGTTTCTGCTGCAATACCAACGCTTTGCAGCAAGAGAGGGGATGCGGTGTGACCACAGTAGCCCATATTTAGAGAGAGAGAGCAGGGAGGATGCTGGGAACCTCCAGGAGTTCAGTTCCTCTACAGCAGCAATGCCCAAATTGTGGGCCAGGGTGAAAGAACTGTTACTATGCCACAAGAAATAAAAGTATTTCAAAAGTCCCCAAGAGCTGAATATATAGAGGGGCGTGGCAAAAGAAAGCTATTTGCAGCATCTGTGCATGAGTGGCTGTTCTGGTCTTTCATTCAGCCTCTGCTGGGGTTAAGTAGGCATTTCTGCCTTAAAACTGTAGACGCACAGAATCGTAGAGTTGGAGTGGCCCACCAGGGTCTCCTAGTCCAACCCCCTGCAATGCAGGAATCTTTTTCCCTAACGTGGGGGGCTCAAACCCATGACACTGAGATAAGTCTCATGCTCTACCGACTGAGCTATCCCAGCAATGATTGAATGGATGATTCCATGGCTTCCAAGGCAGAACTCCCAGTCCTTGGAGGACCTGTGACTCACAACAGACTCACAATAGAAATGCAGTGGGCTGAGCTCTTCTGAAGGTGTGTAATTCTAACACATTCTGAAAATAAAACTCCAATTCTCAATTGGGGGAAGCGGGACAAATATGCACTGGCAACCATGAGTTGGGAGGAACATTGGGCTCCAGTGTAGAGAGACTCCCAGTGCTCTAAGTCAGGCATGGCCAAACTTGGCCCTCCAGATGTTTTGGGACTACAATTCCCATCATCCCTGACCACTGGTCCTGTTAGCTAGGGATGATGGGAGTTGTAGTCCCAAAAACATCTGGATGACCAAGTTTGGCCATGCCTGCTCTAAGTGAATACTTTCGTAGAGTTCTGGTTGCCTAACCTCCAAAACTGTAGAGTTGGAGAAGGTTCAGAAAAGGGCAACCAAAGTGACCAAGGGGATGGAGCAAAGGCTGCAGCATTTGAGACCTTTTACTTTAGAGAAAAGGCGAGATAATAAAATTATATAAAATTACACATGGCATGGATAAAGTGGACAGAGAAAACTTCTTCTCCCCCTCTCAGAACACTAAAACTTGCAGGCATCCAGTGAAGCTCAGTCAGTAGAGCAGGAGACTCTTAATCTCATGGTCATGGGTTCAAGACCCAGGTTGGATGAATTATTCTAGCATTGCCTGGGGGTTGGGACTAAATGACCCTCATGGTCTCTTCCTTTTAAAAAAAAAAAAAATTATTCAAAATTATAACAAGACATATTATCCAAAAACATATCATCCTTGTTCCCCCCCCATTTTCCTCCCCCCAAACCCGACTTCCCTCAGTTCCAGTCTTTGGTTTCTCTAAGAATGCTGTTTTCTGCATGTTACAAAGCTGTATAGATCCTCAAACTATTTAGCTGATTATTATCAATAAAAGGTTTGTGTATGTTTATTCAAAACCTGCCAGGGAGTCCAGTTTGCTTTGTTGCGTCCTCAGATACTTCCAACTCTTCTATGATTCAATGATTCAAAGAAGGTATTTTGTTGTCGTTTAGTCATGTCCAACTCTTCATGACCCCATGGACCAGAGCACGCCAGGCACTCCTGTCTTCCACTGCCTCCCGCAGTTTGGTCAAACTCATGCTGGTAGCTTCGAGAACACTGTCCAACCATCTTGTCCTCTGTCGTCCCCTTCTCCTTGTGCCCTCCATCTTTCCCAACATCAGGGTCTTTTCCAGGGAGTCTTCTCTTCTCATGAGCTGGCCAAAGTATTGGAGCCTCAGCTTCAGGATCTGTCCTTCCAGTGAGCACTCAGGGCTGATTTCCTTCAGAATGGCTAGGTTTGATCTTCTTGCAGTCCATGGGACTCTCAAGAGCAGGGGTAGGCAACCTAAGGCCCAGGGGCCGGATGTGGCCCAATTGCCTTCTCAATCCGGCCTGCTGATGGTACGGAATCAGCATGTTTTTACATGAGTAGAATGTGTCCATTTAAAATGCATCTCTGGGTTATTTGTGGGGCTTAGAAATTTGTTCAATTTTTTTTCCAAAATATAGTCCGGCCCACCACATGGTCTGAGGGATGGTGGACCGGCCCATGGCTGAAAAAGGTTGCTCAAGAGTCTCCTCCAGCACCATAATTCAAAAGCATCAATTCTTCAGTATAACAACCACAAAGCCCACTGGACCAGTGAGAGGGCAACATGGCATCTTAGAACCATAGAATCATAGAAGTGTAGAGTTGGAAGGGACCCAATGGTCATCTAGTCCAACTCCCTGCAATGCAGGAATCTCAGCTAAAGCATCCATGACAGAGTCCAACCTCTGCTTAAAAACCTCCAAGGAAGGAGAGTTCACCACCTTCCAAGGTAGACAGTTCCACTAGTTCAGATGTTGCTGTACTACAGCTCCCATCATCCCTGACCATTGGCCATGCTGGCTAAGTCTAATGGGAGTTCTGATCCATAACCTCTGGAAGGCACTGCAATGAGTATCCTTGAAATGCGGCCTCCTCTCACTAGAGTAAGTAATAATAATATTGGGAGCATGAGCAGTTCTCTAAACACTTTGAAACCAGGAGGCATCTGAGTCAGGTTCTTCAGTCCAGAACAACCCCCGTTCCTTCTGTCAGTGATCTGCCTAATAAAGCTTTCTTCCCAAAAATGGTGTCCTCCCGATTTGTTTGGACTCCAGCTCCCATCAGTCCCAGGCAGCACAGCCAATGGTCCAAGGTGGTGGAACTTGTATGGCAACAACATATGGATGATACCAAATGGGGAAACACAGCTCTTAAATCTTCACCCTCCAGCTCTTGAGAAAAGCGTTCTTTCTTTTTTAAAGCAAACTGAAGTGAACTCTTCCATCAAATCAAACATTGCAATTGCCATACTGGACGGGAACAAATTTCTGTCTCCAGTCCAAGGCTTAACAGTGGCCAGCCAGAGGCCTCTAGGAAGGTTATGAGCAAGGCACGGTGGAGACAAGTCTCTGGCTTTTCCCCCAGCCTCTGCTACGTCCAGTCTTTGAACACAGAGGTCCCAGCCAGCCGTGCTGACAGCTCCTGAACAGAATTCCCCTCTAACCCACATTTTAAGACAACTGGGTTGCTGGCCCTCACAAATTCCTGTGGCAAACAGTTCCATAAGTTTGATTAATAAAAGTTTGCATGCAGCTAGTCCCAGAATATGAAAACCTACAGAAAAGAAATCAAGACACCTGCCTAAATATTCTGCTAAATAATGCATTCTACTACATGAATGTAATTTAAGATGGTGCAGCAGCAGTTTTGGGATCGTGGCCTGAACCTCTTGGGTTTATTTCATTTTTAAAAACAAGTTCACCAAACGCAGCAAATCTCAGGACCAACCAACTTCCGCCCAGTTGAAAGAGTGCAGTAACTGCTTTAGTGAAAGGTCAATGGTTTGGATCCACTCCCAGCTGAACTCCCTGGTGCTTTTCCCTTCTCACCAGCCCTAAGCAAGCAAGGGACATGAGTGCAGAAAGCAGGATGAGGAGTTAGTGGTTGGCACATACAAAACAATTATACTGGTAAGTTCAGTGGGGTGTTCTGGCACCATCACAGCAAACTCATACTCAGCGTCTGCTCTGCATGCATAAAGTTCCAGGTTCAACTCCTGGTATCTCCAGGCCTGCCTAAATTCCTGGAGAGGAGCTGCCAGTCAGTGCAGACAACACAGAGTTAGATGGCTCAATGTTCTGAATGAGGCAGCTTCCCAAGTTGCTGGTCCATATATAGCCAAAAGAGAATCATCCCATCATCCATTTGGATTTGCAAATAGTGTCTCCCTGTAATAACTCCAACTGCTGGGAACTCCATGGCAATAAACTGTGTGCTCCAAATGGAAGCATGGCAATAGTAATCACTGCCCCCCACTTTTTCCAGTAGCTGAATTTTGAACTTTGAATTTCGACCACGGCGTACAGACCAGAAGTTGGCGGGAAGTTTCCAAGCAATCTGATCAGGAGTCTATAAATCTCATCACTGGCCAATATCCATGTACCGCTGGCGAGTGCCTCATGTCACATACCCAGGACTGGGGCTGGCCCTACCATTGGGCAGAGTGAGGTGACTGCCTCAGGTGGAATGCTGGGAGACAGTGGCAACAGCCCCCTGACTAATCCTCCTCAGCCCCAGGCCATTTGCCTTCTGCTGGCGGATATCGCTGTGTATGCCACACGAATTGTCCTGGACCCCCTAAACAAGGCTGCTGCCTATGCCATGTGTGCTATCCTGTTGCTAGTATCAAAGTGAGAGTCTACTGCCAGTTTAGTTGGTGCCTTGTGCATGGAATAGGGGGTAAGGATGCATCTTGTTCATTGCCTCAGGCAGCAAAATGTCTTGGTTCAGCCTTGCCCAGGACAGTGATCCGGAGAAGCCCTGTGAGTTGCACACCATATTACAGCTAGATGTCAGGCATTTAGTGCTGCTGGTCCCAGGCTGCAGAACACTCTTCCAGCAGAGATTCAACATGACATCCTTCTCGCTTCCAACTTTCAGGACTCGTTTTTGTGCTGGCAGACCGATGCAGCTGTTCAAAACTTTCTTGATTATCCAGTCATTTTAATGATGGTTTTGTACTGTGTTGTTGTTTTTAATGGGGCCTTGTTTTGTTGAATACACATTGGTGTACGCTCCACTGACAAGTTTAGGAGAGGGCTGTAAAGTGACTGTTTATAAATGAGGAAATAAATAGAAGATCCCTTCTCTTCTGAGCATTCATGCCCTGCACTGGGCTCATGGGAAGGGAAGGAGAAGGCAAAGGAGAGCGCACAGCCACAGCACCCCAAGTCTGCAGAACTCGGGAGAGCGAAGTAGCCTGGCTTCTCGCCCTTCCTCTTGGGTGCTTGTTTGCAGGAGGTGAGAGAAGCCAAGACCCTTGCAAAAGCACTCTGCACATGCCACAGACAAAAAAATGCCCCTCCATCCCACCTAGCTCTCTGCAAATGCCACAGGACTCAAGAAGCGAGGTGTGGACCTGCAGCAATCACAAAGAATAACTGGGTAGTTAGCAGGCAAGCCAATATGTGCAGGCACTCCTGCTTCATTCATTTTCCCTTCTTCCCTGTCATCGTTTAAACCCATAGCCCGCTAGGCAGCTCAAGCCACAATGGCCAGAATGATGTGAAAGGGGGCCTGCCACAATCACAGAGCAGCAAATGAAGTCCCCAAAATGTCTGCTTTTGAAAAAAAATAAAAGCATGTTAGGAGAGAGCAGAGGAAAAAGAAACCAGCTAGGAGAAATTCTAAGAGTTTAGTAAAATGTGTTGGGCAGAGCTTTCAGTGGGTTGATGGATAAGGATCAACTCAATCTCTATATAAAAGCCTAAGGCAGTGGCCCTCAAACTTTTTTCTCTGAGCCACAGTTTCAGAATAAAAAGTTGCTTGCACCAAACCGAATTTTTTATTGACAAGAAATACATTGGAAAACAAAAGGAAAGAACTCCTAGCAGTGCCTGATTCATAACACGGAAAACAACTACCATATTTTTCGCTTTATAAGACGCACCAGACCATAAGACGCATCTAGTTTTTGGAGGAGGAAAACAAGAAAAAAAATATTCTGAATCTCAGAAGCCAGAACAGCAAGAGGGATCGCTGCGCAGTGAAAGCAGCAATCCCTCTTGCTGTTCTGGCTTCTGTGATAGCTGCACAGCCTGCATTCGCTCCATAAGACGCACACACATTTCCCCTTACTTTTTAGGAGGGAAAAAGTGAGTCTTATAGAGCAAAAAATACGGTACTTTATAGTATGATCATGGGGAACCCAGAAAGTATAAAACAACGCAGCTACATAAGAACATGACTCATTCCCAAAATATAATTATAAGCGAGCCTCTTACATATGCACCTTAAGTATGCCTACAAACTCAATGAGAGGTGTGAGCTTGCTTTTGCTGGGTAATCTTAGTTATATTAGGTCTGATTTGAGACAAACAAATTCTCATTTCCTCATCAACACAAGACGTTCTCTTTTCTGATCTTTCTTATTTCTCAGAATTGAAAATCTCTGTTGACGACAATATGTGGAGCAGAACTGCAGCCAGTGTTCTTGAAGAGAGGCGAAGATACTGTTTTTCTGGCTGTATATATTAAAACATATTTCAATACTATGCTATACTATACTGCACTGAAATGTTTAAACGTTTGATTATCCTTGAATCT